GGGGGGGGGGACTGGGGGGAGCCCCGTGCCTGCACCCCGCCGCCCGGGTCTGCGTTCCAGGGGCAGTGCTGGGCAGCAGACCTAAAACCGCCTGGAAATGCGCCTCGGGACCGGCTCTGCCCGCAGCCCCCGCAAGCCCAGCCCGCTCGGCGGCGGCTTCCAGAGTGCGCGCTTGGGCCCGGCTAAGCACTCGCACTGTGGTCGAGGCCAAGGGAGGGGTCAGTGCGAGCATGGGCCAGACACCGTCAGGCCGTCAGGCCAGCCAGCCGCTTGCTCGGCTCGCCCGTCGGTGCGGACACTTCCTCCGAGGCTGCGGGGCCGAGCTCTGGCTCCCGCCTGCTCTAGCCCTGAAGTCTGGGGGGCCCAGGCAGGGGGCCGGGGAGCTGCGGCAAGGGGGTGTGCTGGGCCCTGGCTGGGTTAGCCCGGCGGGTTGCAGGAGAAGCCAGAGGCTGAGCTTAGAAGGGAAGCAAGTTTGGCTGCAGGCACCCCACCCCCTCCCCAGAGAGCAGAGCGGAGTCGGGCCCGCAGCTGGGATTTTGTTTTGTCCTCGAGTTTCTCTGGCCTGCGGTTTCGTTTTGCTCACTTCCCACGGGCTGGTTGGTGTCTGGCCTGTGCGAGTGGTTAGGGTGCGCGAGGTCCTTGGGGGGGCGGGGAGGGGGGAGAGCAGCGGTGCCCCACATCCTGCCAGGGCTGGGGAGCTGAGAGGTGCTAGCCAGTGGCGTTTTGAACCTTAACCTCAGCAGTTGTAGTCCCGGCCTGCTTCCTCTCCTGGTAACCTGCAGTGAGCCCGCCGGAGGCTTTCTGCACCCCGCGGGGCGCCGGCGCCTGTGGCTCAGGCGCGGGGTCTCCCGCGCGGCCCTGCACAGGAGCTGTGAGCGGTGGGGGACGGGAGCTGTGAGCGGTGGGGAACTGGAGAACGTTGGCTTTCACGCCAGTTTCTGTGCCACCCTGGTCCTCCTCTGCGCTCATTTAAAATGAACATTTTCAGGAAGCGACGCCGTTCCAGAAAGTAAAACTGGCTTCTGGTGCGATGCTGCTTCCTGTAGGGAGTCAGGGCCTGAGCACCCCCGCACCCCAGGGCAGCGCTGTGCAGGTGCTCAGTAGCTTCAGCAGTTTTCCTTCGCGGTGGTCACCCCCGAGGCCTTTGTCCGGGTGCAGGCCGAGCTGGTGGCTGGCTCGCCTTTGTGGGGTTTGCAGTGTCTCGGGGCGAAGATGAGTAATAAATCCGCATATTGGAAGACAAGGATAAGAGGGCACTGGGGAAGGACAGGGAGTGTCCGTGAAGGACAGGCCTCGCTGAGAGGTGACTGCGCAGCCCTGAGGGGCCAACAGGTGTCGGCTCCCAGCCGCAGTGACCGGCTGGGGCGAGCCAGTGCGGGTCCTGTGGCGTGAGCCTGTGCCCAGCACGGGCGGGCGCGCCATGTGCTGCGTGTGGGCAGGCTGCCGTGTTCCTCAGCGTGGGTGACCTCCGGGGTGAACCGAACACCCCAACTTTCTGCTCCTCCTGTCCCCGCTTCAGGGAAGACCTTCCTAGAAAAGTACTGTGCAACACCGCAGCCGGGGTGACCGGAACCCGCATGCCCGCTGCGGGGTCCCACCCGCCTCTCAACTAGGCCTCGAGCACAGTGACTGGTACCCACCTTGGGAGCGGGGTGTCCGCGGCAGACAACTGAAATGGGTCACTGTGGGCCAAGGGCCCTTCAGAGACAGGGCGTCCAGCATGGGGCGGGGTGCAGGGCCTCCCCAGGCTCCTGGTGACCGAGCCTAAAGCCAGCACCGCCTGGAGCCTAGCGAGCCCCTTGCGGCAGGGCACAGTGGCCTCTTGCCCACGTGCCAGGCCGACAGGCCCAGGCGTGAGCCGCTCCGCGGGACCCGCCGGGGCGCCCATGTCCCGGCTCAGGGCTGCCGGGACTCCGGTTCCCTCCTGCTGAGATAGAGACAGGGAGCACGGGGGAGGGGGGGACTGGGGGGCTCAGTGCGGGAGGGTGAGGGGCTGGTCACCCCGCCGCCGGCGTGGGGGTAGGCAGTGCGCTGTGGGTGGCCTCTGGCGCCTCCCGGTGCGTGCTCAGGCCTCTCTGAGGGCCCCAAGTGCTGCCACCCGTGATTCATTCCTCGGAGGACTAGCACAGGCGCACGGGGAGAGAACTGGTCCAGAAACCAGCCCCGGCTGGGCGAAAGAAGCCACGGCTCACGTCCAGCTCTGCCCTTAATGCGCCCCTCCCTGGACCCTCCGTGCAATGAGGAGCTGGACTGTCCCGAGGGTGAAAACCTGCTGCGCTAATGTGAGGATGGTTCCGTGGTTAAGGCGCCTAAGAGGAGCTTCAGCGAAGGAAATCTGCAGGGCAGGAGCTGTGTTTTGATGAGGCCTGGGTGGTCCTTGCAGTGACCGCGGAGGGCAGCTTCACACAGGCCAGCGGCCCTGGCCCCCGGCTGTGGGGCGAGGCATCACTCAGAGGTCCAGGGCCCAGGTGGAGCCACAGCCGCGCCCGCTGGCTCCCAGGCTGCCTGCGGGGAGTTCTCGGCTCTGCGCCCCATATCGGGCCTCGGCATAGGGGCAGAGGGGCAGGGGGCCGTGGGGGTCCGGTGGGGAGGCTGCCGCAGGGAGAAGGCCCCCCAGCGGCCCCCCAAAACTTGGCTAAGGACCCAGCCGCTCTACTTCCCGAGGGGGGAGGGGCGGTGGGGGCAGGGAGAGCCCCGCGAGGCGGGGAGGCGGGGTCTGCGCCAGCCTGACGCTGGTTATATAAGGAACCACGCGATTGTGCAAGCCGAGGGCCGTCTGAAGCGGCCTCCTCTGTCACGAATGTTTACTTTCCCGTGGGCATCAAGCCAGACCAAAACACATCTTTCATGTACAACAATAACCCTGAAAAGTTAGAGGTGCTTTCTTTTGCCTTGAAGAGATTAAAAAGCAAAGCTGAGGGCCCTCCCCGGTGGCACAGGGGGTTGTCTCAGCACTATGAAGCTGTCGGCAGCCGCTGCAGCACGAGTTCGATCCCCGGCCAGGGAGGGACCCCAGGGCGCGGCAGCCCTCTCCTGACCCGCCCGCTGCCCCCGGGCGCGTTTCAGTCCATCCGCCTGTTCTGCTCCCTACTCTGTCTCTGGGGAGTCGCCGCACACCCTCTCTGGCCTACACCCCAGTTCTTGTGTGCATAAATAAATAAATCTTCAAAAAAAGAAACAAACCTCAGAGGCCCCTTAGCGTTCACCAGGCAGCGGGAGCTGAGAAGACATCTGCACGCAAACGCAGCCAGTGTGTGCAGCCGTCGCCCCAAACGTTAGTGGCAGCAGCAACTCCTGCTCCTGACCTGGGACGAGGCCCGCGGTCCCCAGTTGGGATGCATTAGAGAATCTTCTGGAAGCTCTTTGAGCTCCTCAAAGACAAGAACTCTCCCCTCCCCCACCAAGTGCTTTCGGGGAGGCTCAAAGACCCAGGCTTTGCAGCAGCCACTGCACAAGGCCGACCCCTCTGGATCGGGCGCCTGCCGGCCACAGGCGGCAGGGACCCGGGCCGGCCGTTGCGCCCCGCCGGGGGCGGGCCAGGCTGGGCCCGGGACACTGGAACGGCCGCTCTCAGGGTGAGCCGGCCTGCAGTGAGCATTCGAGGCCCAGGAGGCCGCTTCAGACTGCACCGGCTTGCACAATCGCGTGGTTTTTCCTATATAACCAGCGTCAGGATGGTGCAGATCCCGCCTCGGCCGGGCTCTCCCTGCCCCCACTGCCCCTCCCCCTCTGGAAGTAGAGCAGCTGGGTCCTTGGGGGGCCGCTGGGGGGCCTTCTCCCTGCGGCAGCCTCCCCACCGTACCCCCGCGGCCCCGTGTGTCTCCGGGGTGCCTCCTGCGAGGCCTGGTGCCCCGACACCGTTGCTCCAGAAGGTTCTGAGCCTCCTGCCTTGGGCCCATCTGACTGGCCTCCCTACCCCCCACCCCGGTGCTGCACCGTGAGCCCCTGAGGGCTTCAGGAAACTGGTGGCCCAGGGGCAGGAGGCCCAGGTGTGCCTGTAAGGCTGGGGGAGCCTCGCAGCACCTCTCAGAGAGGCCGGGGGCGGCCTCCACCCTGAGGGACCAGCGACCTTCTCGGCCTTGAGCAATCACTTTCAAGTTTGCTCTGCTTGTCAGAACGTGGAGTGTTTGGGAACGAAGAGAAATGTCGGGGTCCGACGCCGAGCCCCGTCATTGGCCCACAGAGGCACGAGGGCAGCTGACGGCACCAGACTCTTCCCGACTAGGCGGGCCAGTGGCTGCGTTTCCCGCTCTCTGGTTTTCCCTTTCGGCTTTTGGCGGCTCCGTCTGCCCGCCGCAGGACCCGCTCGCTGAGCCGGGCTGTGGCTGCGCCCAGCCACGGGCGGGGACGGCGGCCGGGGGCTCTGGGCCTCCCACCACGGGGCCAGGGCAGTTCGGGGCTCGGCGAGCCTCGTCGGCACGCAACTCCTTCCCTCCGGAATGACCCCGGGACCTTAAATGTTCCAGCCTCTCGTGAGGTTTTGCTCCTTTTGGGAGCCTGGACACTGCCACGGGCCACCAGCCCCTGCCCACGGACCAACACAGAACATTCTTTGGCCTCTGACCCTGACCTGAGGATGGCGCTGAGCAGACACAGGCCCTCCCACCACCTTCCGGACCGAGCGCGGCTCCGGTTCTCAGCCGCAGGGTGAGAGCCGTGGGGACAGCGGGGAGGGGCAGAGTGGGGATCTTGGGGGCCCCGAGCCAAATGGGCGTGCCCGGCCCCTCCTATTATCCCCTGAAACTGAAGTCGCCTACTCACAAAAGAATGCCGTGTCCGAAACCCCAGAGGGAAAGGCTCAGCCTCACAGGCAGTGAGCCGTGTCCCCCGCTGGCGCCGTCTCCCTGGTCGTTGAGAGCCGGTGGGAAACTGGACAGCTCTTGTTTTCGTTGGCAGAGCGGGAGAGGACATGGGGCCTCCATGAAATCCTTCCGTGAGCGGGCGCACGCCTGCAGGGGAGAGGCTCTGCGCCGCCCGCCCGCATTATGTAACTTGAGGTTTGTGTGAAAGAATGTGGGGGCTGGGAATGGGGGTGGGGGCAAGCTCCCAGCTTAAAATCTGTGAAGTCGCCCCCGTAGCTGCTCGGGCGGGCCCCCCAGTCCTGCCCTGCCTCCAGCCGGACGCTCCGTGGCTGGATTTATGCACACAGAGCTGGGGTGCAGGCCAGAGGAGCAGGGGTGTGAGAGGACTCCCCAGGGACAGAGCGGGGAGCAGAACAGGCC